TCCACTCTCCCTGTTCTCTTCCTCCAGAAGACGAATATTCGACATTGTTTATTCATTTCCTTTCATGCTGATTCAGCTCATTTGTTCTCTTATTAGACATTTTCGGCTCATATCCCCTGATGTCAACGTGTGGACCGGAAGTGAGCCGTGTGAAGGAAATATTGTCCCCTCAGTTCCACATACAATCTACATGTAGAGATCTGAGTGTTCTTTCATGTGATATACACCCCGTGCCCCATGCTCTATGGTCTTCCGGCCTCCTATACACCCCGTGCCCCATGTACTATGGTCCTCCGGCCTCCTATACACCCCGTACCCCATGTACTATGGTCCTCCGGCCTCCTATACACCCCATGCTCTATGGTCCTCCGGCCTCCTATACACCCCGTGCCCCATGCTCTATGGTCCTCCGGCCTCCTATACACCCCGTGCCCCATGTTCTATGGTCTTCCGGCCTCCTATACACCCCGTGCCCCATGTTCTATGGTCTTCCGGCCTCCTATACACCCCATGCTCTATGGTCCTCCGGCCTCCACACTCCATGACATGGGCGGATCATCCTCATCTACCTAAAAAGCTGAAACAATATAATTGAAGTGAGTAAATAATAATGTGAGTGACTCTTCCGGCCGAGATTGCTGACAATGTTTTATGTCCGCCTGGATTTCCGGTGCAGGTGTCACACCTGGACTCTGATACAAATGTATCTCTTTCAAGTGTTCCATTTCCTGTTGCCAGGCAACCAGATTTAATGTTTCCTTCTGCAGAATGACGGACGGGAGCGCCCCCTGCTGGCTACACTGCGGTACTGACACTGCGCCCCCTGCTGGCTACACTGCGGTACTGACACTGCGCCCCCTGCTGGCTCCTTTATAGGTACAAATATAATCTACAATCCAAGAAAAGACCAATTCCAGTTCTGGGGGATTTATTAGGAAATTGGTGACTTGCGGGGCCGTTCACTAAAGGGAGAAGAGAGGAAACGAGGACAACAGAGCTGAATGGAAAGGGAGCTGACCTGGAGAATTGTTCTGGTTCAGCTCTGTTGTCCTAGATTGTTCCCTTCTCCAAACTCCTCCCCCTTTAGGGAATAGCCCTGCTAGAATATCTTAAAGCCAAAGGACGACCATGACAGCCAGGGATTAGTAGTGCCTAGGTACAGGAAGTACACTGATATTAGTAGTGACTTGGCACTGGAAGTGTTCTGAGATCAGGAGTCACCAGGCGCAGCCACGCAGGAAGTGCACTGACATACAGAGTGCCTAGATACAGGAAGTGGACTGAGATCAGGAGTCACTAGGCACAGGAAGTGCACTGAGATCAGGGGTGACAAGGCACAGGAAGTGCTCTGATATCGGGTGACTAGGCACAGGAAGTGCTCTGATATCAAAGTTGACTAGGTACAGGAAGTGCACTGATATCAGGAGTCACTAGGCACAGGAAGTGCACTGAGATCAGGGGTGACTAGGCACAGGAAGTGCTCTGATATCAGGGGTGACTAGTCACAGGAAGTGCTCTGATATCAACGTTGACTAGGTACAGGAAGTGCACTGATATCAGGAGTCACTAGGCACAGGAAGTGCACTGATATCAGGGGTGACTAGGCACAGGAAGTGCTCTGATATCAAAGTTGACTAGGTACAGGAAGTGCACTGATATCAGGGGTGACTAGGTACAGGAAGTGCACTGATATCAGGGGTGACCTTTTTCAGTTCAGTTCCACTGCTCTCTCCCCACCTTCTCTGCTCATGATCTGGGTTGACATTAGAGGTCGGAAGGCGGCCCGTTCACCACCTGAAAGAGCGAGCAGCCCTCCCCCCCCCATCCCCCGGAAGAGCCAGCAGAACGATCTGAAACACAAGCGCTTTTCCTGTAAATTTTAAAGATGAATTACCCCGCAGTGCACGCAGCTACAGTGGGCGCGGGGGGGGGGATTTATAGGTCTTGTAGTGCTTTTTGGGGATATGTAAATATGTAAATATATTATATATATATGAGTCACCAGGAAGTGAGCAGGAAGTCACCAGGAAGTGAGCAGGAAGTCACCAGGAAGTGAGCAGGAAGTCACCAGGAAGTGAGCAGGAAGTCACCAGGAAGTGAGCAGGAAGTGGTGAACACATGTGACACTTTCCTTTACAAGTCACTTTGCTGGCTGACTGCACAATGAATGTGAAAGGAAACCCCCTCCCCCGCTGAGCCCGCACAGAAGGCGATCACACGTCTCTCTCCGTCACGCCTCCCGCATGGAAGACGATCACATTTATTGGCATTCGGCTGTAAAGCATTTCGGCCATTTTTGGCTTTTGTCATTCTAGGCGATTTAGAAAGGGGCGGAGCCACCTGTGAACGCTGCTAGGCCAAGGCCCGGGCTAAAGTTCACCTATAAAAAGAAAAGAGACACCACACAGTCCTCCCATCAGACGGAGCTCCGCCTCCTCCGGCCGCTCTATAAATATGACGTTAATGATTAAAACTGCAAAAACCGCGCCCGTCCGCGGGCTGGAGGAGCGAACGGCGTCCTCCTCTGAGCTTTGCTCCTCCTCCTCCTCTGAGCTTTGCTCCTCCTCCTCTGAGCTTTGCTGCTCCTCTGCCGCCGTCTGATAGGAGGAAACCGAGGACAATCCAGAGTGTGATTGGGCGGGGCTGCATTGGACCTATAGAGGGGGCGGGGCTGCATTGGACCTATAGAGGGGGCGGGGCTGGAACCCGGGAACACACTGGCTGAATGTCCGCAGGCTGACTCTTGGGGCCAATCAGATGACAGCACAGTCAGCGGCAGAAGATAAATGACGGGAAGTCGGAGGTGTTCGGCAGATCGCGGTCCTGGACGAGCTTCCTGTTAGTGACGTCTGACTTCCTGGAGGAAAGTTTGATTGAAGGAGCTTTTCCTGGATGCGCTAATCTGTTCTACAATCATTCTACGCGGGGGGAGGGGCCACACCGGATTGTGGGAGACGATTCTTCCTGGAGAGGAGAAAATGTGTTAGAGGAGTTCCCCTTTAACACCCCAAAATAAATAAATCTGTACAGAGGCGTCCAATGATGGTGCTGGATGAGACTGAAGGGGAGGTCGGAGGTCAGATAGAAGACTGAAGGGGAGGACGGAGGTCAGATAGAAGACTGAAGGGGAGGACGGAGGTCAGATAGAAGACTGAAGGGGAGGACGGAGGTCAGATAGAAGAATGAAGGGGAGGACGGAGGTCAGATAGAAGACTGAAGGGGAGGTCGGAGGTCAGATTGTGTCCTGTGTATTAATCAGCTTCGGGGTGTCGGAATGTTTCATCTGATTAGTGACGCGGCTGGTCTGCTCTGCCTGTGACAGCCAATGAGAAGCCGCCTTTCACTGTGTAACCGGCATCGATGTGCAATCTGATTGGCTGTCATTGGCAGCGCACTGTCTCCGCCCCCCTCATATAATATGCGGTCCCCTCCCCTGTACACGACTGCGAGGTGACACAGAGCTCAGGGCCGTGCCGACCTGACAACCTGATCATGTGACCCCCCTGCCAATGTAATCCGGGGGGGAGGGGATTATTAAACTGCGCACTTCGGCCAGCAAGACTCCACATGGAGACGCTGAGCCCTCGCCTTTTACTCAGCCGCGCAGTGCGCCGTTTAATAATCCCCACCCCCCCCGGATTACATACCATATGGTTACGCCCTGAAGGGGCGGTACTTCCCTCGAAACGTGTTGGCTGCATTTAATTCAATACACTTTTCAAATCCGTTTCTCCCGGAGCTGCTGGAATACATCTGATGACAGGTCCACTTTAATAACACGTCTGCGTCCCCCCCCCCCCCCCCACACTCCCCACCCGGGGAGGGGCGA